TAGTCATCATAGTCATCATAATCCTGTAATCATCATCATCATCATCCTTTGACCATCATCATTACCATTACTCAACAACTCTTTTCACCGACTATATATGAAGATTGATGTGGTTATTTTTCAACAATCAGATGGCAGAATGGCTACGCTGTGTACCATTCCAATCTTTGAATTGCACACAGAAGACCACCATCTTATCGTTTCTCTGCCACGAGTTACTCACTAGCAAAAACATCGTCAGGTGATGATGATCATGATGATGAGGATGACGATTTTGCTCTTGTTGTTGATAATGATGTTGTTGTTGATGATGATGTTGTTGTTGTTGTTGATGTTGTTGTTGATGATGTTTTTGTTGATGATGATGTAGTTGTTGTTGTTGTCGTTGATGTTGTTATTGATGATGTTGTTGTTGTTGTTGTTGTTGATGTTGTTGATGTTGATGATGATGATGTTGTTGTTGATGATGTTGTTGTTGTTGTTGTTGCGGATGATGATGATGATGATGATAGAGTTGCTAGCGATGACGTCATTTTAAGTGGTAGTATCGTTGATGTAATCGATTGTTTATAAAAATATTTTGGAGATTATGATATCATTTTCATGATTGAATTATTGACATCAAATTTACAGCTAAAAAGCTTCACAGATGATCATCACATTCACTCATTCTTCACCATATTTTCAGTCACATATATCTAATATAACCATTTTTCTTGTCATCATCACAATCTTTCGCTGCAATCATCTTTCTACTCACATTTAAATTATTCCTATTGTCATATTTTTAATCACACATAATTGACTCACTCACTCACTCACTCACTCACTCACTCACTCACTCACTCACTCACTCACTCACTCACTCACTCACTCACTCACTCACTCACTCACTCACTCACTCACTCACTCACTCACTCACTCACTCACTCACTCACTCACTCACTCACTCACTTACTTACTCACTCACTCACTCACTCACTCATTCACTCACTCACTCACTTACTCACTCACTCACTCACTCACTTAAACAATCAATCAATCAATCAATCAATCAATCACTACATTATTCACTCACAGTAACTCACTCAAAAACTCACTCACTCAATAACTCACTCACTCACTCATTTTCATCATCATCATCTTCCTAATATAAACAGTGAAATAGAGAAGAGCATAGAATCAATCAGTGCACTCAAAAAAGATAAATGGCTAATGGAGGGCAAGTTGAGGAAGTTCGTAGGGGGTGTTAGAGGGTACTTTGGGTGATTGGGAGTTTATAGGAGGTATTAGGGGGTATTTTGGGTGATAGGCAGTTTAAAGATGGTGTTAAAGAGTACTCGAAAAAATATTATGGTGTAATGATAATATTTTAGATGGAGTGTTTGTAGTATGTTTTAGTGGTTTTGTTTCGTTCATTGAAACGATGTTTGTAATATTTTAATAAATGTAAATTTTCTACGCATATATACATTTTTGTTATCATTATCAATGTCGCCATCATCATTATTATCGTCATCACCACTACTAACATCATCACCACATTACATCATCACCACATTACATCATCACCACATTACATCATCACCACCATTACATCATCATCATCACAATCGCCACAGTTACCACCACCACCACCACCACTACTACTACTACCACAGGTTGCGACTGATTCAAGCAAAACGCCAGCGACGCAACACGTCTCAGAAGCAGACGCCGCAAAATGATGATAGTAGTACGACTATGACTGGAGAGCAGCACAAGAATGATGACGACGACGATGATGACGGTGGCGCTGGTGGTGCTGATAATGACGATGATGACGCACATGACTCTGATACTGAAGTTAGTGATGATGATGATGAGGACGGTGATGATGATGATGAGGACGATGATGATGATGATGAGAATGGGATTACTTCATTCTATCATTTGTGTCATCACTTTTTAAAATTTTATGATTTTTTACTGGTTTTATTTCATTCTTCAGCAAGAAGATCAGCTGCTACCAGCCGAAGAACTTGATTCGAAAATTGAAAAGTTGACGAAAGTATGGCTGATGTCTGTCTCTGTGTATGCGCGTGTTATTGTTTTTGTTTGGTTGCTAGTCAAGTTGCGGTTTCCGTTGTTGCTAGTCAAGTTGCGGTTGTTTTTCTGCTAATTACAAACCAACCTACCAACCGTTTAATTGCAAACTATTCAACTAACTAAATAATCGCAGCAAATCTATTTACCGATCACACTCCAACCAATCACAAACCATCTAACCATCCAACCAATCACAAATCATCTAATCAACCAACGATTCAATCACAATTCAACCATTCAACCAACCAACCAATCATCTTTACAGCAGTACAACGGCATGATCGATCGAATCAGCCTCCTCTCGCACAAACTCAACATCTCTCCAATCGGCCACGATCGCTACAAACGCTGCTACTGGGTCCTTTCAAAATGCGGGGGCGTGTTTGTCGAGGGCATCGAATCAGCTGATAAGCACTCAGCTGACCTAGTTTCTGAATTTGTAGGTCACGGATTAACAAATGATGACGACCTCGACGATTCGAAGCCTCCGGTTCTAGAATTGGAAAAAAATGTTATTCCTCGTATTGATGATAATGATGATGATGAGGATGATGATGATGGCGTAAATCTGAGTCGTGATGACGATGACGTCAAATCGAAAATGAAAGTGAAATGCCGGAAAGTTGATGACGACAACAACAAGGGTGATGGCGACAACGACGACGATGATGGAACTTTTCCTCTGACACCACTGAATTGTTACCCAAAAGAGGAGGCTGATAAAGCAACCAGTTCTCCATTGCCTTCATCGTTACTCTTTCCATCATTACCATCATCATTACCATCATCGTTACCACCTTCTTCATCATCATTACCATCATCTTCATCATCATTACCATCACTAACATCGTTGTCATCTTCAGTATTGGCATCACCATCATCATCATCTTCTTCTTTTCCATCACTTTCAACAACGTCATTAGTCACATCATCATCATCATCAACAACAACAACAACAACAACGACATCATCAACTGCAACTTCAATTACTACAACCACATCATCAACAACAACAGTAACAGCAGCCACAACGACAACAACATGTTTGACGACATCTTTATTTTTCATGTTCTCAACATCGTCACCAACACCACCGACAACAACAACCACAACACATTCAACATTGACGCCCATATCCTCAACTGCAAATGTTTTCGCAACAACAACAACATCAACGGACACACCACCAACAGCAACTGAAACAGCAACAACATCAACAGTACTATTAACAACGACAACATCATCAACTTCAACATTAATAACAGCAAAGTTGAAACTATCAAACACACTTTGCGACTCCAACATAACAAACCTGGAAGATATAATAGAGCGAACGGTCTTGAACAGTATGCTGGAAGATTCCGAACAATCAAACAACAACAACAACACGTCCCTCTCTCAATATACAAATTCATTTCCACTTTTCAACATTGACAAATGTCCTATTAGTGAATTTTTAAATTCCAACGACAACTACGACGATATAAATGATGTCATCAGTAACAACAATATCACCAGCAACAATATCACCAGCAACAACAACAACAATAACACTACAACTTTTGTTGAAAATATGGTAAACAAATTTAACCAGGCAATGAAAAAAGGTTCATGGCCTAATTTGCCTCCAAGAACAACAACACCATCAACACACCACCACCACCACCAACAACAACAACAACAACATCAACATGATGATCTGCAATCTGTAAGTTGTTGTGTTTATTCTGGCTGCTTTGTTGTCGGAATGGATTGGATTTTGATTTGGCTTAAATATCGCTTGTTGCTGTTAGCTTCATCTGCTACTTCAGTTTTTTTCCAATTTCGTTACAGTTTCAACATTTTAGCTTTGAAATTACACCGTGCTGCCCATAATAATACGTTTTAAGAGAACGCAATGAAACTTGGGCATTAGAAGAAAGGCGATTTCTTTTGTATTCGATTCAAGCTACCAACAATGCAAAGAGTTTTGCAAATTTTCAAACGTCAAAGTGTCATTTAATTTGAATTCATTAAAAATTTGTTTGGCTTATTTAAAAAAATGAAAATAATTGCGAAAGATTATAAAATAAAACTAGAATTAAAATAATTCGTTTAAATTTTCTCAGTATGACAGATCGGTATGCTCAACTCCGCTTACAACAAACAACAGTCGATCGTCTACACCCAACAACACCCACCACCACAACAACAACTACAACAACAACAGCAATAATAATAATAATGTTTTCAATAGCAACAATAACAACATTTTTAACAACAACAATAGTTTCAACAACAACAGCAATAACCATGGCATCAACATGGTCAAGACAAGTTACGATGATGATGATCAGTCAAATTCAGATTGGGGTGATGGTAGGCAAGTCAGACCATGCCCAGATGTTCCTCTAGGTAGCCATGATGATGATGATGACGACGACGATGACGATGATGACAATAATTTTGTGTGTAATGATGATGGTGGTGATATTAAGGAAAATGAGAATGAAGATGATTGTGATGATATTGAAAACAAATTTATAAAAACTCTGATAGGGATTGTCCACTGGCCCGTTGCTAATTTATTTATGTAATAATTCAGTCTATAATTCAACTCATTCACCAAACAAAAAATTCATTTATTTTCACTTTCATCAATTTTTTTCTT